ATGTCAATGAGTTAATGATCATTTTAGCTTGTATCGCTGAATTCTAGGTCGACCATTTATCTATTTACATCATTGAGAAATAAAGAGCAATTTTCTAGAATTCCTTGCAAGAGTAATTTGGAGTGGTCTCTATTTTTTTATTATTATTATTATTTTTTGTTTTTATGCTTTTGTTTGGATGCTGATCATTTCTCTTAGATGAGATGTTACACACCCTTTTATATCTCAGAACACTTATTTGTTTGCTTTCTTTTGGATACTGATCAATTCTCTGTAAACAAAATGTTCTATACCCTTCTTTATATACTGGTGAGAAATTTGTGTTCTTGTCATTCATAATTTCATACTTATAGGGCATGTTTGATTAATAGGATTATAGCATAGGATTGGGATTGTAAGTTCATGAACTCATAATCCCATATTTGATCATAAATTTTATTAACCAGATTACATGTACAGCGGACATTCAATCAGATAAAATTAGCAAATTTTTAATATTGCTTGAGGATCATAAAAAAAAAGAAAAAGAAAAAAAAAGGACAAACAAAACAAAATGAATACATAATAAATGGTTATCTCATTAATTTAATTGGATAACTAATCTTACATTAATTTATGGGATTATTAATCCTTTCACTATTAATCCTGTTAATTAAACGAGGCCATAATGTATGATGTCCTTTTGTTTTTGGCAGTGGGGTTTTACAGTCTTAGTTCTCATCTTCCAATTTTATTTTTCATATTGAACTGATTTGCTAGTTCCATTTGACAGCTGTAGGAAAAGAATAACTACAAATAAATTGTCAGTGTAGCCATGATTTTATGTTGTAAAATGTCATTTATTTTTACAAAGAACATAGTGATAGCTTAATCGAATTCATCTTGGAAAATGACTGGTAGCTCGAAATTCATGGCTCGATTTTGGCTCGAATGGCAAAACGACGTCGTTTTGCCATTTCTTTTTTTTTTTTCCCCTTCTTTTTCTTCGTTTTCTTTCTCTTCCTTTTCTTTATTTCTTTTCTTCTTCTTCGTTAAACACAGGTGAGAGAGAGCAGAGCAGAGGCGAGAGAGAAACAGAGCTCGTCGGCGTCGTTGAACACAGCTCGTCGGCGTCGCAGCTCGTCGCTCAGCCCCGCCTCCACCTCTGCCTCCGCCCGCCGCCGCCTCCGCCTCCACCTCCGCCTCCACCTCCGATTTTGATGGCCCGCTCCAGTCCAGTTCTTCTTCTCCTTCTTCTCTTCTTCTTCTTCTTCGTTCTTCTTCTTCTCTTCTTCCTCTTCTCCGAATTCGGGCCAAATTCGAGCCTCCGAATTCGAGCTACGAATTAGATCTGATTCATCTTATAGCAAAGAAAACATTCAATTTGACAAATCTACGGTGAACATTTTCTCTATTCATAAATGCATTGAATTGAACATTGTTGATTAATGTTTGAAATCTTGAGACAATGGTGGCTGCTAAATTCTTCAGGTTACATGGGAAGTAAGTATTGACAAAAAGTTTAGGATCGCTTGCATCGGCGCCAATCTTGTGTTTTGCTTTGTTTGATTTGTTAAAATCATAATTCTGTTGTCATTAAGGTTGTAAGCAAATTGCTTGGTTTCATTTATTGAAATACTTATTTTGAGAGGTAGGTGTTTCATATTCTTATGCTCCGTTGTTTCAACGAAAAAAAATTTCCAACAACAAAAAAAATTTACAATTTTTTTTTTTTTCAAAAATTGTTTTGTATATGTATCCTTGAAACTAATGTCCTAGTTATTGTATTAGTGGTGGTTAACGGTTGAGTCAAGAAATTAAGATAGAGGGGACACTTTATAATTTAATTTATTTTTTATTTTAATGATCAACAATAAAATAATAATAAAAAGTTTAAGTATAAAAATTTAATTTTTCATTATTAATAGTAACTAGTCAAAATTCTATAATAATGTAGAATAATTTGGCACGCAATAGTAATATAAGTATGCAATTTTAGCATAAAAAATTACGAATTAATTTTTTGTTTTAATTTTAAAAAATAGAAACAAATCATTTACAGCGCAAATCATTATAATTTTTTTTTTAATTTTTATTTGATAGAAAAATATTAGAGAGATAGTATTGATTATAAAAATATGTTTTGAATAGAAATTATTAGATAATCTCAGAATATTATGTAGTGTTGTTGACGTGGTGCTTTCGATATAAGAAATCGCAACTCACACCAAGTGTGATTCACCTATTGTATTTCAACTATCTAACAATAATGAGTTACTATGATCCATTCATAAAATTTCATATCATATTATTGTTTTAGACCACCGTATACATGGTGCTCAAAGAGTACCAAATAACTATCTATTGTGAACAATGAAAAAAAAAAAAAAAACACCTCGCCAAAGAGCACAAGTGAGAGGATACATTTTATATATGAAAAGAAAAAGTTCAAAATTGAGGGGGGAGGAACGCCGACGGGATGGAGGTGGTGGTGGGGCATTGGTCAGAGTAGTGGCAGTGGCAGTGATAATGTTTCTAATAGGGTGGTGGTGGTAGCAATGGAATAGTTTTCGAAAGTTTTATATTTGACTCTCATAGGATGACATAATGGGCTAGTTAGAGTTTTCTGTTATGAAAAAATAAAGAATAAAAATTGGGAAAAAATGAATTGAGCAGTCTGATTAAGTTTATTATTAATTATAGTTCATAAACTAAATGTGGCGGGAAAAGAAGAGAAACAAAGGGTATAAATCCAAAAAAGTTGCAAGTTATACTCTCTTTTTTGGGGGTACATCCAAGTTATGCTATCAAATCAACAAATTGCAAGTTTTCATCCTTATAAAATGATTGAGAGAATGTCCAACTATTAAGTTCTAGATTTGTTATACAGTTTTGTTACTGTCACAAATTAATTTATCAAATACTCGCATGGGTGGAACCTATAGCTTCCAATCCACCTCCACTCTCACCCTATAAACTTTGCATTTCTGGCCGATTCCTAGTTTCAGTTATCTTTTTTTGTCATTTCCTAACACCTTTCCATCATAGCTTGCCCCTCTCTAGTCCATCCCCATTACCATTCATTCATTTTTAACCTCTTTCCAACGCTTGTCGCTACCACCCCGGTCTATTACTAGCCTCTTAAGAGGGGGAGATCACAAGGGAAAGTTGGAGAGGAGGAGATGGTTGAATCTAAAAGAAGGGAGAGATAGTAGATCATGATGTAATTTGGGAGAGGATACACTAGGTTGTGCACTAAAGCTGACCAGAAGTAGGAGATGAAAAGAGTCCAAAGAATTGAGGGAATATAGTTGAGATTTTTGTGTGTGAAAAAAACAAAAAAACAAGAGGAATAATTTAGTGGGTGAAAATCCAAAGTAACGAGAGATCGAACGAAAAGTAAGACCACTTAACAACACTCAAAATAATTGTGCCACTTTTGGACAATGAAAGGGATTTCCATGTAACAAGACTCAAATTCTCTTTCTAAAAATTTAAATAAAAAAAATCAAATTCTTAACTTCTTATATTCTATTTGATTTATTAAAATAAAATGAAATAGAATAATTGTTTTATTGGAATTTTTATTCTAGCTAGCTCACTAAAAAATTATAAGATAAATTATAAATACACTGCTTGAGGTTTGCTTAAAATACAAATTGTTCCTTGTGATTTAAAAAATTACAAAAATTACAAATATTCTCTTGTCAGAATTTTTTATTTAACAAAATTAATTAAAAAAATAAAATTCATAATTTCTCTCATATACAATAATAAAGTTACTTTTGAAACATGTTTTTAGCATCATTAAAAATTGTTAATTAACTTTATGATTTATTAATATAAGTAACGATTTGTTATGAAATTAAAAATTTCAAGGATTGGAATGTAATTTTCAGAACCACAAGAAACAATTCGTATTTTGAGCAAATCTCAAAATGTGTATTTGTAATTTATCCAAAATTATATAAATATATATATATTACAAACAGAACCATCATATTCTGTACGAGTTGTCATTTCATGTCACTCTATTTCATTTTACTCCAGCAAACATTCGTGAGTTGTAGAAATTCCAACCAACTGATGTAACCTCAATTGGTTGAAAAAGGGATTATGTGATTATGAACATACCATTGGTTTTACATACAACTTTCTTTCTTTTAGATCATACACTAACAAAATCACATAGTTTGAAAATCTTCCAATTGAAAATATATTATTTGAAAATCAACTTTTGAACTAAAGATAGAGCCGAACCACAAAGTTTGGTTTGGAAGTCCATTTCCGACTCATAATTTTGTTAAAGTTGAAATTGAAACTAAAAAATATATATCAACTGAAAGAAAATAATGTGTGAAAATAGAACACACTAGTAATTCAGACATTTGCCAAAGTAGCAACAACATGCTCATTTAAAATACTTTGTAGAATCCTAACTCCTTGTAACTATATAATTGAATTGAAGTAGTAAACTAACTTACACAAATGACTCTCAACATATTAAATTCAATAATATTAAATTAAATTCAATAATTATATTATATTAAATTCAAAAAAATATATTAAATTATATTATGTTAGATAGAAAAAAGGGTAAATTGGACTTTTTACATCATATCCCCACCAAGGGGATATGATATAATGGGGGGGGTGTGGTATTGTATATCCTCCACTTTTGGGGGATATACAATCCCACCGGATATTATATCCCCTTCAAAAAAAAATTACAAACATGGGATATATAGACCCCACCGGATATAATATCCAATCTCAATCTTCATATCCCCCATTCAAACAGGGCCTTAGATCATACACTAACAAAATCACATAGTTTGAAAATCTTCCAATTGAAAATATATTATTCGAAAATCAACTTTTGAACTAAAGATAGAGCCGAACCACAAAGTTTGGTTTGAAAGTCCATTTCCGACTCATAATTTTGTTAAAGTTGAAATTGATACTAAAAAATATATATCAACTGAAAGAAAATAATGTGTGAAAATAGAACACACTAGTAATTCAGACATTTGCCAAAGTAGCAACAACATACTCATTTAAAATACTTTGTAGAATCCTAACTCCTTGTAACTATATAATTGAATTGAAGTAGTAAACTAACTTACACAAATGACTCTCAACTCAATTGAAGGTCTAACTCAGTCATCAATAATAATAGGTTACAGAGGATAGAATAGCCAAGGATGGGGAACTACACATTTTGTGAAACTTATTCATTTAAAATTTTATGAAATTCCAAGCCAGCAAATTATTAGCACAATTAAGCTATAAATATTCTCAACAAAAACCACTATGCTTGAGGTCTTGACGGGCCTAGAATTATTGCCTAAAGCCTTGATCTTGAAGCCGGAGATGCTGAAGCAGGTGCACTCTGCAGAAAATGGTTGCTGTCATAACTCAGAACATAGATTTATATATATGTAAAAATGGCGAGAGAGAGAGAGATGTTTCGGTGCTCTAAAATGTAAATTATGAGAACCAGTTAGAAATAACAGTGTTTATATAACCCACGTGTTTTTTGGACTAGTATGCCTGCGTTAGGAGAGGTTCTATTCGTCCACTACAAAAATTCTCAGTTCTTCACACCATTTTGCCGTTTAGATATTAATTTCCAAACAAAAATGAATTGCTCAGATATATCCAAACAACTGATTATTGTTCTGAAGTTGATATCTGTGGCCCAAATTGTGTGAAGTGAGACGAAGAGTGGTGTGCAAATAGAAGCTCACTTGTGGTAGGACTAATTTTGAGATGAAAAAATTATGCTAATGCCCTTTTTCTATTTTTTTTTTCTTTCATTTTCTTCACACCCATTTTTTTCAGCAACCCATCGCCACCTTACAACAGCCACCACCACCATTACCATATGCACTGCCACAGCAGTGTCAACACCCTTCTTCATTAACTCTATATATATTGCAAACAATCCCATCATAGTCCCACAATCTCTCTGAAAGACCCCAACCCACCACCACCACCACCATTAACTGACAACACCACCATCACCACCAACAATTCTCTCTCTCTCTCTCTCATCTTCATCTTTGCAATACAAACAAAACACCAATGAGTTAGTGGGTGGGTGGGTGTAATTGACATTGCCAAGGCAAGAAATTTGACACTCAAGTCGGCCAACCATGAAGAAGTCAAGTTTGTTTCTAAAAGATCTACAGGTAAACTAGAAAAAGAAACCCTAATTTGTCAAACTACAATAGAAAATGACATAAGCAGGAGAAACGAAATAGGTATCTCACCAGTGGTATGCCTTTCGTTGCTCTTTCTTCCAAAAACCTCGAAGGTTTATAGAATTTTCCATATAGTTCTGACCACTTCTTGAGACTTGTGTATATATGGTTAGGACCGACAGTATCAGCCCAAAATACGATGCCACCCCTGCCAACAAAAGAAACATTTATTTGACAACATTTGTATGCTAATATTTAAGCTGAACTGGATGTGTACGCAATATTAACAGCCTACAAAACAAAAAACAAAGTAGTGAAACTTTGTATTATGAAAAACTTCAATTTTGCTAATTTTAAAATAAGTCCATAGATGAATCAAACTGTTTTCAACTCAAATTTGACTATCAAATAAATTCGTATCTTTTTTCAACTCAAATTTGACTGTCAAATAAATTCATATATTTTTTAAATGCTGCATCCCATGTTAACTTAGGTCTTTCCCTTGCCCTAGCATCTCCATGAAACCACCAAAGGAGTGATGAATAAAAAGAAACACAGGAAAGTAAAAATCTGGCACAGTTAGAGATAGTTTTCTCAAAGCACTCACCGATAAGAAGGGAAACTCATTCCAAGAACAGATGCAATGTCGAGGTCTGATGCTCGAACTACAACTCCTTCATCCATGACACGACAAGCCTCATTCACCACTGGAAAGAGTACCATCTCCACGATTTCTTGATCAGTAACAGATATAGGCTGCCAGTCATATTTCAGTAGACTTGTCAGATACTCTTGAACCAAATGTAACTTGTACATTTTTGCGTTTTGTTTCATTTTGAGCAAAGTTAAAGGATCACTTGCAGATGTGAGCTAAGTATTGAAGATCATTTCATGCAATAGAAAATTTTATTTTACATTGCACATTAAAGGTACCTTTCCACCAGGCAAAATATTGGTAATCCTTCTACACTCCTCAATAATTGGAAGCACCGAAGGATCTGGTTTTGGTTTGCTTCCCTTTTCATACAAGTAGTACCCTTTTCCGTTGTTTTTACCTAAAATGCAAGTGTCATATGAAGCCTGAAGCAATGCCCCAAAATATAAGCAGAAAAAAACAATCTCTGTTATTACCATTTCGACCGTTGTTCACTAGAAGTTGAACCAAAGGAGAACGGAAAGTGCGATCAGGAAATGCATCAGCAAATTCTTTCCCAACAGCAAGGGCTACACCATATCCAGCTAAGTCCTGAAGCCTGTAAGCATAATTCAAACAAAACAAATTTTATCATTATCGATCTAAAACCCTCCATAATAGCTGAGATGCAAGGATCCATTGCGAAAGAAATTGAGAGTTGGACATCAGAGTCATGATCATCTAAAAGATTTTGAGTTTCCACATCCAGCTAAGTCCTGAGTCTAACAAATATGACAACTAATGATCACTTAATCATTCATGTAGAATCCTCTCTAAAATTCAGCTACGCATGGATGCATTAAAGAAATATAAAATTGATGTATTGAGCTTTGAATAGAGTGATCATTCTATGAGGCTTTTGAGCTTCCTTTAAGGGCGTAACCATGAAGATCAAGAATTTGGTCCTGATACAAGTGTGAGGCACCCCCATAAACACGCTCCTCACACCTTACCTGATTAAATGTGAAATGTACTATTGAACTAAGATTGACTTTGTATTCTCTTCATGACTCTTGGTTCCGATGTCATGGAATCGTGTCAAAAATGGTCATTATAGCAAAGCAGTGCAAAATGCAAAATAACATCATAACATATGTGCCCACCCCCATACCCATCGTTCTTTCACTCCCTTCTTTTTGGTGGTGTTCTTGAAAAGAAAGATCTTCACAGTAGAAACAACATGCTTTGTTAAATGAACATTAAGACATCAGCCATGCCGATGGATACAACAATGATAAGGGAAGAAGATTACTGGAATGGGCCCATCGGTAAACCAAAACTGGTGATCAGCCTGTCAATTCTGAACACGTCCACACCTAGATTGACCAAAAGCTGTGCGCTTTGTGTGTAGGGGAAGAAGGTTCGATTGACAGCAAAGCCAGTGCAGTTTCCCACCACAACAGGAACTTTCTTTATGATTTTCCCAACTGTCATGAGATCAACAATTGTTTGGGCAGAAGTCTTCTCCGTCCTTACAATCTCCAGGAGAGGCATCACATGAGCAGGACTGTCATTAAAAAACCAAGTTATGAATAAAGACAAAATTCCTTGCTAATAATTTTCCAGTATCAGGTGCATTGTATTGATTTCACAAAACAAAATATGGACATAACATTCCATGAGTGAGGAAAGGAAATAACAATTAAGAATTTAAAGTTTCAATCGAGTCTTTTGTCATTATAACCTGACTTTTCCCAACTAAAATACTACTAATTTTCATTTTCTTTCCTCTGGATGCTCTTACCCCCTTGCAATTTCTCTCAACTTCCATTATTCATTTTCACGGTCACAGATACAAGGCTAGGTTGGAGATACGGACCAGACTACTAGACAGACCAGCTCAGCCAACCGATTCTGAACAGCAGGTATTTGGTTACCCAGTTTTCAAAATCAGATTTTAAGTTTTCAATTCGTATTTTTTTATTTTTAATGAAATTTTTAAATATTTTGGTCAATTTTTTTTTCCTTTCCCTCTTTTAGATGCATCTAATCTAGATGTACTCAAAAAGTAAAATATTTGTGAAAAAATCTTTAAAAAATTCGATAAACACAAAAAAAATAAAAAAATTACGATTTTTTTTGTGGGTATCTTGTAGCATTTATTGAATTTTTTAAAAGATTTCTTCACAAATATTTTACTTTTTTAGTACATCTAGATTAGATGCATCTAAGGGGGAAGAAAAAATTTGACCAAAATATTAAAATATTTCACAAAAAAAAATTACGAATTGAAAACTCAAAATCTGATTTTGAAAATTGGATAACCAAACACATCATTTTCAAAGGATAAAATAATTAAATTTTCCTTACTTCCCAAAAGAGAACAAACTTACTTTACGGTTCATAAATATGTTTTGAAGGTGAAGGATTATGAGGTGTAGAACCTGAAAAAATGTGCCCCAATAATGCGATCTTGAGAGCTGGTCTTTTCTCCAACTACGTTGAGGTCAATAGTAGAAGTATTTGTGGCCAAAATGCAATGGGGAGGGCAGGCCTTCTCAATTTCACTAAATATTTTTTGTTTCAGTGGAACTTTTTCAATGACAGCCTGCAATAAGGAGATAACAGAATCAAACATGTAATACTCCTAATGAGCAAAATGTATTAATCATTGGCATCATCAATATAAAAGGGAATGACAGCTAAAGAACAAACGAGAAAATTGAACCAGCCAAAGTTATCAAACTTTTTGAGAAGATAGAAATTTAAAAATTTTGAAGGTAACTTTCTCCTTAAGAAATCGAAACTTGATAGAGCACACCTCTATAACCATATCCACATCTCTAAATTCTGAGTAGTCCAATACACCTTTGAGCATTGAAATGGCTTTATCTGCTTTATCCTGTGCCAACTTTTTTCTTGTTACTAAGCCCCTGACATTTGCTGTAACATAATTTATGTTAGTCATAACTTTCTCATTTGCAAAATATTCAATGGTGATGTGTGGAAAACAAATGAATATGGTAGAATTCCATCTAACATACCATGTATGGTGGTTTCTTTTGGTTTGGTATTTGGACTTATAATAATATGTATCAGTACCTTTTTTTCCTGACAAGCAAAAGCATATATTCCCTCCATCCTATTTTATCTGGCACGGTTAACCATGCACACAAAGGAAAGCATTTTTGAATAATAGGTTTATAAAAATTCCATTCACCTTATTTGAATAATTTTTTGGGGAATTGGGATTTTATCAAATATAAATTTAAAGAGGGTAATATGGGAAAGTGATGATTGAACTTTTTGAATTTTAATAATCGGGCAAAAAACACAGGAAAGGGGCCATTGGTTAGTGGTTAAACTCAGTCTATGGGTAATTTGTTTTCTTAAATGCATGCTCTTTTAAAAAAAAAAAAAAAAATGATCTGGTTGGTACTTGAAATGATGGCCCATCAACAAAATGAAGGCATATTACACAAATATTCAATAACTACTAGATAAATATTCAACACTAGATCAAATATGCCACGTGGAGAGGCCATAAACAAGTTTTTATTTTTTATTTATTTATTTTTTTGCATAACACAATAGATTTTTTTTTTCTTTCTTCAGCCAATGTTTTTTTTTTTTTTGGCATACCGCAATATATTTTTATTTTTTTTTTCTTTCTTCAGCCAATTTTTTTTTTTTTTTTTTGCATACCGCAATATATTTTTTTTCTTTTCTTTTCTTCAGCCAATGTTCCACCAACAGAACGTCACACAAACCACAGAAAATAACGCTGTTCTGAGAGAGAGAGAGAGAGAGAGAGAGAGAGAAGTAACTACCTTCTACCATTTTTATTCCCCTCTGAAGATATTCAGAATTAATTTCCTTGAGAACAACATATATGTTGCTCAGGATTAGAGCTGTGGTTATGCCAGAGCCCATTAAACCCCCACCAATTACAGCAACTTTCTTTACAGCCCTTGGTTTGAGCCCTATATCAGTAACATTTGGTACCTGTCAAGAGTTGGACTTCAGAGATCATCAATTAGGAAGGAGATAAAGGAGCTATTGTGTGTCAAGGAAGAACAATAAACATCAAGATCCAGGGCAATCACAGAAGAGCACGAAGGTTTGCAAAAACAAACAATAGCAATAATGAGATGTCAGTATAAGTCCTTAATTTGACACCTTGAAATATCTCTTAAGTCACATTAAAGATTACTCAACCACAATTAATTCACCCATCCAACATTTTGTTCGAGGAAGAGAAAAGAAAAGGTAAAGTTGTAAATTTAATATTAGAACAAATTTGTCAGCAAACAAACATATAAAACAGCTGAATACAAGTGATTAATATTTGAAAGGGAAACCAAATATAGCTCACAGAAAAAAGATGGCAGAGAGAGAGAGAGAGAATGTAAAGCATGAGGCATCATAGTTCCATGTTACAAGATTTACCTGCCATAATCAGGATACTTGGAAATAAATAAAGCATTATCAAGTTTTACAGGATATATTTGTACTTTAGAAGGAAATTTAAAGTACAGAACATTCAGAAAAAATTAAAGAATTTAGCATCATGCTTAGACCAGGTATATCATGAAGACCTATGGCTGCAACTCAAGCGGGTTTGGTCATGCTAGGGGCTTGTCCAAAGCCCAACCCAAAGTAATTTTCCCAGGCCCAATCTCAAGTCAGAGTTGTCTAGACCAAGTCACACTTAAGCTTAACTCAATGAGTTCAGATTAGGCTCAGGCTGCCCAAACCAACACCAAAAATTTCCTTGTAACATACATTGACCCAAACAGTTACTGTAGTTGTGATTGATTTCTCTTTAATTTGAAGCAAGTTTTTAGGCACCAAACAAGAAATTAACTGTAGTGATGATTGATTTCTCTCTTTTGCCTATTTTGCAATGCCCACACATACATATGTAAAACACCTACCTAGTGGATTGTTTGGGTTATTTAACAACAGCTGCGACATAATATTTACGCATCTTACCAGAGACGGACAAGAAACAGATGTCAAGTGGTTCTGGTGCCCACCGAAACCACATATTAAACCAAGTATTTGAACCATAACAACAAACGTAGCTGAAACAAAGTAACAAGGAGCCAGACCAATTCTAACCTAAGTTAGGCTAGGTTGGTCAAGCAAAAGATTGCCACCAAAAGCAAAGACTAGTAGGTCAATAATTTGTGCATCTTAAAGCTCCTGGCATCTGTGCTTTTGCAAAATAAACAAGAGAGAAGCTCAAGCAATATTTTATGTTCTACTTCTAACCCAATGAATCTAGTAAATTAATTACAATTTTTCATTCAAGGCAATTAAAGGACATGTTTCCTGGTGGTACAGAATAGAAAACTGTTGGATAGCTTGATATATACTTTGTTCGGCACATTTCCTAACAGTTCAAGCTTTTGCGACAGTTGGTGACTCAACAAAAACTAATCACAATAAGCATATAACCAGCAAAACTCATGCAGATCCTACAATAGATCTGCAAACAAGCATATCATGAGTGCAAAAATAGAGAATTCACCAAATCCAATAGTGCGACAATCTTGGACAGTCCTGAATAAACCAAGGGATTGTTTTTCTTATTCTCATTTATTTACATTGTTTTTGGGTTTCTTTGTTTTTTTCTTTTTTATTACTATTATTATTTAACAATAATAATGAATACATCCATCAAGAATAGGCAGTGCATCTATTGCATGAACTATTTACCTTTGACGTTGCACGTTGAGCAAAAAAAACATTAACAAGGCCCCTTGAAGTATCAGATAAGACTAGCTCTTTAAAAACTTTGGCCTCCTGCAAAAAGCATTTTGTAGCATATTAGATTGTACATGTTCAATAAGTAACTGTTGAGAAACAAACTAAAAAGCCACTTCTAATAAAAACAAAGCATGGTTCCTCACATATGACGCATTGGAAGTCCCTAAAGAATAAAAAAAATTGTTTACTAAATGGTGTACAACAATTAATTAGCATTGAATTCCAATATGAAGAAATCCACAAACTCTATACTATAAGATAGCACCATTAATATTCTTTTCTACAAGGAAAACAATTTACACATGAAAACAAGATTACCTTCAAAACCCCATTATACCCTCCATGAACAATGCCTTCCTCAATCACATCAATGCATGCCTGGTGCTGAGGCATATTTGGAGCAGTCTGTTTGGCTTGTTGTCTTGCGAATTTCAATATCTCACGTGATTCAGACAAGGAACTAAGCTTGTCTGTCCTGTGAAGGGAACGCATCCAAGGTTTGCGTCTCTCCGCAATATCTAGAGCCCACAGCCGAGATACTCTCAACAACTCTTCAGCAGACACCAAGGCATCAATAAGACCTAGCTTCTTCCCTTCTTCAGATGTAATTGATTTAGACAACTGCAAAGATTATTTGTAATGGTGGAATGACATTAGTCCCAACAAAACTGGCTCACTTATAAACTGAAGTTGATAGGGGAAAATATAGCCCAAAATTAAAGGTTTTACCCATCAAAATATATCCATACTGAACAAGTAAATGGTTTCAAATTTCCAACAGCATATGTTGCAAGTTAGATCGTAATCTTTCCATTTTTTTTTATTTATTTTTAAAGATTTAGAGAAAAATGGAATCTTCTGGTGGATAATTCAACTAGAAGTTGTAATTGAAGACCAAATGTGTATTTGATCCAATCCATTTCAAAATTGATTTACAAATTATATCCTACTGTGCACAAGCAAAAAGTTCACAAACAATTTAAACACACTATCCAGGAAATCAAATCCATGCAACAAAAATTTGAACAAATACAGTGAATCAATTTAAAAAATGGTCATTCCTTTTGAATTTGTACAATCAATAAACAAACCCTTGAAATGCGTTGAATGAAAACATTTTCTACTCTATAAAGAATTTTTATGCATAAATGCACACAAATAAGAACTTAGATAAACTGGCATAAGATGTAAGTTAAGGGTTCTGTAAGATTTTTTTTTTTAAATGTAATTTTCAAAGTTATGATACAAAATTTACAACATAGAAAAATCTTCAACTAAGTTTTACCTGAGAAACAAAGGAAGCTGCAGTAGAGGAAATCAATTGTCAAGCACAATGCTAAACACACACGGAAAAATGTTGCATGATTGAGGTACCAAATAATGCCTGATAGATCCATGGGTAATATATGATAGAAAGCAAGTGAATTGGGCATACAACCCACTGAATCTACTCAACTTGAATGTTGATTACACAAAACTTCATGTCAACTGAGAGTTGACATGTTAAATTTTGTAAGACTTGTAATTTCCCTGAAGCATGAGTACAAAATCGTAGACAATGTCATATTATGAGTGTGTATAACAATATATAATTCGCTACAAACAATAACACATCATTTTACTGATTTATCTCTAATTCTTTTAACCAAGTCACGATGAAAAAGAAGAAGAATGCAATGTTCATGGAAGAGAATGTATGCATGAATACAAACATGGAGTTTCATTTCATCTACAATATTTGTAGGACTTTGAACATCCAAACCAAGTCAAATGAGATGGAAGGTATGCAAATAGAATGCATGGTGTTTGACAGATTCATCATGAAGTGATACAAATCCAATCCTCATGGAAAAGAATGCATACATAATTACATGGAGTTTCATCTAAGATATTTGTAGGAATTTTAACATCCTTCCCAAGTTGAATGAGATGGAAAGCTTACCAGCATCATTTCAACAGCCTTTGACAACCCTACAAGCCTTGGAAGACGCTGTGTTCCTTACAAAGGAGCCATGACATTGTTAAACAGTCAACTTTCTAATCATTTCAATCCAACTAAATGGAGTCACAGAAACAAAAATCAAATAGCAGATATACCTCCAAACCCAGGCAGAACACCAAGTGTCAGCTCTGGCAAGCCAAGTTGAGCTTTCGGTGCAGCAATACGTGCGTGGCATCCCTGCATAAAGTTAATGACAAGACACATCAAGCAAAGAAAAGTAGGGAAAATGCTTGACCTCGACAGAAACCACAAACCATTGTCAACTCTAAGCCACCTCCAAGTGCAAGTCCTTCTATGGCAGCAACCGCAGGCTTCTTGGCATCTGAGATCATGAAGGTGAAAATATGAAAGAAGTCAAAGTATGATTGGCGCTAAGAGAGTACAAGAAAAAAAAATTAGGAACTCAAGAAGAAAATAATAATAATAACAATAAGAAACGTTTTTCTCTGATAAACTTCAAAACTTAAGATGTTGTAAGGACCTTCAATTGTGTTAACCACAAGATCAATAGATACATCCGGTAGAATAGAGATATTCCCTGTCAAACCGAACAAAAGAGTTCATTCTCAGTTTTCAAGTCCAGAATTAAAAATTTCTGCCAGCTCAACTGCATAAAGTAAAGTCAATTAAACCATACCAGTCTTGTGAACGTTTTGGAAAACATTGATGTCGAAGCCACCAGAAAATTTCCCAGCATTGCCTTGAAATTAAGTTAAAGAGAAATAAATTCAGAAAGAGTCCACAAGCAACAGCCATGAAATCACTCTCTTTAAACATGAATACGCAAACAAACATACTGGTAGATTCAAATATTCATACAACACTAGGAAGGAACCAAAGATCATCACCAAAAATACCATGAATTCAGATAATAAACACTTTCCGACACAAACACGGATACAGATATGATGATTTGAAAAAATTGAGGACACGGACACATTGGGGACAAAAGTAAAAAAAATAAATATTGTTATGTATATTTTTATTTGCTATCTAGATTAATATACGTCCACAAACAAACAAAATTAACAAAAACTTACACTAATACAATATTTGAAAACACAACAGATTTAAATAATTAATAGATGTATCCCTGGCATGTCCTCTGTGTGTCCCTGGTGTGACCTCAAAAAACAAACTAATTAAATAAAGAGACATGTCAGCTGGCATGTCCAGTACGTGTCTGTCGTATTTCCACCATGTCTGACACTGCTGCGGCGCCTGTTTTGGAATGTCCGTGCTTCATAGATAGGCTGGATTTTATTTTTTTTATTTTTTTCGGGGTATACTATAATAGTTGTATATGAATAATGAAAACACAATTAAGTTAATGATTTCTACAAAAAAAATTATACTGTTGGGTCACAAAGTTACAGATAACATAGATATAGTTACAGGAAAGCAGACAAACTAGCACAGCTGCACAAGTCTTCATGTCAATTACACTAATGCTCTTTGTTTAAGTTTAACCAACCAATGAGGATATCACATGCTTATCAAAAAAAAAAAAAAACCCTGGTTGAATAGGTGATGACAAACCCTAACCACCTTTTGAAGCCAAAATTTAGAAAATCAAATCCAGTCTGAAATATCAATAAAATGAATTTATGGTACCAATCTGAGTAACGATCCAGACTATAACAAACATTTTCTTAAGACTCTGTTTATAAGAAAACTCACTGCAGAATACTTATGCAATTATAAAGAATAGTGATAATCACCATAAATGGGATTGTTAGGGGGAGGGATAAACCTAAACTACAAAATGATATGAGCATACAGCCACTGTTGACAGAGCAAAATAGCAAAAAAGAGAAAAAAAGAAAGGGGGCAAATAACAGGGCAGTGGGGTCAGAAAAATTATTTACAAAAAAGTGATAAATATTATAAATATATTATTAATAATTAAAATCATATATTTTTCATTAATGTATAATAATTTTTAAAAACTTCCACAAACTGATAATTTCCCCGCAAAAAAAAAGGGGAATTTCATATCAGTGTAAAATTTGAAAAACAATTACAAATTAGTGGTGAACTTTATCAATATTAATAATTAAAATTATAAACTTTTCCTTACATATGTAATAACTTTTTCAAAAATTTCCTCAAAAAAAAAAAAAAAAAAAAAAAATCAAAAGGGTTTATCAGAGTATTCATTACAAAAGTATTACATGTTGACAATAAAAGTAAATGCCGTATATGCTTACAACTTTCCAAGTCAACACTTGGGTTCAACAAAAATAAAGTTCTAACTCTTTACACAAAATAACCCTTGGCTTGATATACATGTAATACAAGAAAGGTAATCACAAAAAAAAAAAAAAAAAACCTTCAAATTTAATTTCTTGCAAGGGCTTGATCGAAGTAGGTTATGTCTTAGTTATTTTTAAAAAAAAAAAAAAAAAAAAATTCCATGGAAACAATCAGTATCAGTTGAGATGGCCTTAATCCAAGTGATCGGTCAGGACAATTTATTACACATCACAAACCAAAAACAAATCCAATCAAAATGCACAGAACAGAAGAACATCAAAACTCACTCCAAAACAACTCAAATTCAAAACATACCAGTCAAGACAATAGCTTTAACATCATCTCTCCTCATCGCCTCCTCAAATTTCTCTTTCAACCCAGCGATAACTGCAACACAAAAACAAACAATTACAATAAATAAATATAAATAAATAAAAACCTAGATTGAAGATGTTAGATGGACTTACTTGGGATGGCTAAAGAATTGACAGGGGGATTACAGATGGTGATGATAGCAACGCCATCTATTCCGACCTCCATGGTCACTCGAACCCCTGCCATGGACATCCTTTCAAGCGATGCAACAACAACAGACCTAAGCTAGGGTTTTCTAAGGAGAAGAAGACCAAGATTGGATTCAAATTCAGAACAAAAATGACAGATTAGTAAGGATGAAGAGAAAAGAAGATAGGTTCATAAAAGATACACATGTAATCAGACATATATATATACACATAAAACAACCATGATACAGGACCCCATTATACCCCACCCCCCACTACCCCCACACACTCGAAAATTTGACCAATACTGGGGGTGCTGGGTCCCAAGCATTATTCCACGTAAAATCAGCACTGATTCAAAAAAATAAAATAAAGATCCACATCAGCACTACGTTATTAATGGTCTATTAATGATATTAAGCATTTATGTCGTAAAACTTAGGAAATCTATAAGTAGGTGAGGGAAAGAAAAAAAATTAAAAAATATTAGAGTTTTTAAAAATTTCATCAAATATTTTATATGGACGTAGACTGACATTATATGAATATTATAGTATTTAGGAGTACAAGTGATGCTTGTACATTCACAACCTTTCATTTATATCCATCACAGACATAATTACACCTCCTATATATTTGTAATTTTTTTCCCCTTTCCTACCGGCATGTAATTTCCCTTAAATCTTGGAGTTTTTTTTTTAATATTCTAAAACAAGAAACTATTTAGAGAATTAATCCGTTTTTTAAACTATTTAGTACCTACTTTTGAAATCGCACGTTGAAAATGCGATTTCAATTGAAAGCGCATTTTGAACATGCAATTTCACCATGTTATCATTTTCAACTTGCAATTTTAAAGTGAAATTGCATGTTCAAGATGCAATTTCAATTTCAATTTCAAAATCGCATTTTAAAAATGCGATTTCCAAAAGTAGATTAATTTTCTAAATAGTTTGAAAAGTGAATCAATTCTCTAATTTTTTTTTTTGGAATATTAAAAAAAAAACTCTTAAAACTTAAGTCACGAGTTCAAATTTTATAATATAATAATTTTTTATATAAAAATTTGTCATGTGATATGAGATTTTTTTTTAAAAAAAAAATGCTATAAACTCTAAATAATATATCAATTTTTTTTACCAAACTCTCACATGGTATGGGATTACACAAACTCACATATGTGTGGGTTTCACACTCATATAAAAAGTTTGGTAGAAAATTTGATACTCCCTCCATCTCAAAACATTAGTCATATATTTCATTTTTTATTGTCCCAAAATATTGGTCCTTTTTCAAAAATCAAGAACGAAAATAATATAAGTTTCTTATTTTGTCATTCTTTTAAATTCATTAATAATATAAAAAGTACAATTATGACCATTGATATTTTCAAAAAAATGTACTGTTAAAAGGTAATTTTGAAAAATTAATTTTTTTAAATTGCAATAATTGTAATACTAAAAAAAATTAGATTTTTCAAAATGAACTATTATTTAAAAACGAATAGAGTAGATTATTTGAGATTTCTAACCTAATTTTTTTTTATATTAATAACAAAAATATTTTAAAATATAATATATAAATGTGTGAACTTTTAAAATATAATATATAAATGTGTGAACGCGACCACCAGTAGTTAAGAAATGAGAGTGTGAAAATGGAGACTGCACTCCGACTCGGCGAGTGCGGCGGTGAGTGTGGTTGTTGGTTCCGAATTGTGTTTCTCGTGTGCGTCACACTTGCTTGGACCGGATCGGAGGTGAGAAAACGAATATGTAACACCTGTATATAGATAGATACGTAATATTATATACAGTATTGATTTAGACTCCCTCAAACTTCAACCCCACCACCCCACACACACGTGGCGGGTGGTGATTGGAGGAGAAGAAAAAAAAGAAAAAGTGACCAATCAAAAAAGAAAAGGGATCAAAAGGGGGTGGGGGAAAGGGAGTCTCAATCTTTATTCTATTATATAATATGTAAAAATATTTTGGCCTCTTTAAGATTGAAAATTTCAATTTAATTTTTTTATATTTTTTTAATTTTATATCACTTAAAATACACATGTGATTTTGTAATTAGTTTAAAATCTAATTTTTATAAATTAAGTTAATTTTTATATCATTTTAATCATTGTCAATATTATTACCTTAAATTTGTGATTTTAAAACATGCAATGACATTATTACTATTTCAGTTTCAATGGTTATGGTATGAAATTTATATCTATATTTATATTTCTATCTATACTATTATATAGATAAAAATGTTGTTGGGTCAATAAATTTAAAACTTATAATCTAATTTTTTTATAATTTTAAATTAATAAAATATAAAAATGCATGTGTCACAAATTCGTTGATCATTTCACTTTAATTAATAACAATGAAATATTATTATTTTTTTCTTTTTTCTTTTTTTACGATAATAGTAAAAGATTGATCCATGCAATACATATTGATGATGACTTACCAACATTAATTTTCAAATTTTATTAAGCAAAGTTTTATTTGTTTGGTTCAAAGTTTACGTTTAATTCTTTTTTTAAATTCTTCTATAATTTTTTTTAAAAGCTAAGAAATATATTTAGCATAAAATTATTGGCACATCTAGCCATATATCTAATTTGAAATTTTGAAAATCTTTTAAATGAAAAATCCAAAATAGAATCTTATTCATTATTAAGCCCCATCTTATTTGAAATTTTGGAATATTAGAAAAATAAAATATGAAATTTAGTAATGCTATAGTAACCATATTTGATAATATTTGATGTGACACTTTAAGAATAATAATTAAATGTGTCATGTGACGTCTACCAAATAATACGATTAGTGTCATGCATTTCCAACAGTAGTAGGCATTTTACCTATCTGAATATTACTATAAAGTATATATTTTATTTTGCCTATCAACTGTTTTATGTTTTTACTCCAACAATGCTCTTTATTTTAGCTATTTATCCAAATACTATTAATTTTATAGAATGCCACGTCAACAACAAAGATGGAGGGAAATGATCCTAATGAATGAATACATTTTGCCTAGCGTTGAAGGCTAGCTACATGTAGCTAGTGAATATGAGTTGAGGCAAAATGCATAATCATATGCCTAGTGCATTGGAATTGAAAAAAGTGAATCACACTAGGCATTTTAACTAACAAGTATTATATGCCTAGTGCATTGGAGATGCTCTAATGTGTTACAATATATGGTAATCTAATATCAAAGTATGATCACATAATATTACCCATTTTAAAAATCTATATAAAAAAATATTATTTGAAGTCTGCGTTATGCATAATTTATTAAAATACAAATATTTGCCTTCGTTTGGCAACTTGGATTGGGTTGGGTTGGGTTGGGTTGGGTTAGGGGCTATTTTAGTAAAATAGGATTTTTAGTTTAATAAAACAAAATGTCACATCTAACCCATAATCATTACATTATTTCTCTCACAAAAAGTCAAAAAAGCTAAAAAATTTATCTCAAACGAGGCTTTTTAGTCCCAGATTAAAATAGTCAAAAAGCCAATCCACTTCCCAAACAAACTCATAAACGTTAGGTAGATTACCAAACTATTCTTAAGATAAATCATAATAGACTTCATCCTCTAATGGTAACCATAGTCAAATAGCCTATAGAGTTTAAATAGTTTGGTCCCCAAAAAAATCAAACCTAGACTCATTTTAAAATATAATATATAAATGTGTGAACGCGACCACCAGTAGTTAAGAAATGAGAGTGTGAAAATGGAGACTGCACTCCGACTCGGCGAGTGCGGCGGTGAGTGTGGTTGTTGGTTCCGAATTGTGTTTCTCGTGTGCGTCACACTTGCTTGGACCGGATCGGAGGTGAGAAAACGAATATGTAACACCTGTATATAGATAGATACGTAATATTATATACAGTATTGATTTAGACTCCCTCAAACTTCAACCCCACCACCCCACACACACGTGGCGGGTGGTGATTGGAGGAGAAGAAAAAAAAGAAAAAGTGACCAATCAAAAAAGAAAAGGGATCAAAAGGGGGTGGGGGAAAGGGAGTCTCAATCTTTATTCTATTATATAATATGTAAAAATATTTTGGCCTCTTTAAGATTGAAAATTTCAATTTAATTTTTTTATATTTTTTTAATTTTATATCACTTAAAATACACATGTCATTTTGTAATTAGTTTAAAATCTAATTTTTATAAATTAAGTTAATTTTTATATCATTTTAATCATTGTCAATATTATTACCTTAAATTTGTGATTTTAAAACATGCAATGACATTATTACTATTTCAGTTTCAATGGTTATGGTATGAAATTTATATCTACATTTATATTTCTATCTATACTATTATATAGATAAAAATATTGTTGGGTCAATAAATTTAAAACTTATAATCTAAATTTTTTATAATTTTAAATTAATAAAATATAAAAATGCATGTGTCACAAAATCGTTGATCATTTCACTTTAATTAATAACAATGAAATATTATTATTTTTTTCTTTTTTCTTTTTTTACGATAATAGTAAAAGATTGATCCATGCAATACATATTGATGATGACCTACCAACGTTAATTTTCAAGTTTTATTAAGCAAAGTTTTATTTGTTTGGTTCAAAGTTTACATTTAATTCTTTTTTTAAATTCTTCTATAATTTTTTTTAAAAGCTAAGAAATATATTTAGCATAAAATTATTGGCACATCTAGCCATATGTCTAATTTGAAAATTTGAAAATCTTTTAAATGAAAAATCCAAAATAGAATCTTATTCATTATTAAGCCCCATCTTATTTGAAATTTTGGAATATTAGAAAAATAAAATATGAAATTTAGTAATGCTATAATAACCATATTTGATAATATTTGGTGTGACACTTTAAGAATAATAATTAAATGTGTTATGTGACGTCTATCAAATAATACGATTAGTGTCATGTAATGTGTTACAATATATGGTAATCTAATATCAAAGTATGATCACATAATATTACCCATTTTAAAAATCTATATAAAAAAATATTATTTGAAGTCTGCGTTATGCATAATTTATTAAAATACAAATATTTGCCTTCGTTTGGCAACTTGGATTGGGTTGGGTTGGGTTGGGTTGGGTTAGGGGCTATTTTAGTAAAATAGGATTTTTAGTTTAATAAAACAAAATGTCACATCTAACCCATAATCATTACATTATTTCT